AGGGAAGTAGAGGCAATACTTTATCCTTCTTCAAGGAGAGTCATGGAAGGAGATTAGTATAATGACCAGTTATTTAGATCTTCAGCCAGTATGTGTCTAAAGTATCCAGAGCCAAGGTAAAATTTTAACCTAAACTTTGTATCCTAGAAAATGACTTATGATAAATTTCAGATTCCTCCTTGAAAGGCCTTCCTTCATGCTGCCCTTCCTGAGGGAGCCCCACCCCACTATCCAATCATTTTCTCTTCAGAGCAACTGTTCACTCCCCATCTATGGTAGGCTGAATAATGGGTACTAGATGCTGGTAGCATAGTGCCTAAGGCACTTGACTGCTAACCAGAAGGCTGGCGGTTCAAACCCACCAGCCACTCCTCGAAAGGAAGGTTGGACAATCTACTTCCGTACTGATACACTTCGGAAACCTAAGGAAGGGTCTCTATGAGACCAGTCCGACTCAACAGCACATAATAACAACAACAAAGATGCTGAAGTCCAACCCCCAGAACGTGTTTTTGTTACTTTACACAGTAAAAGGACCTTTGCAGATGTAATTAAGGATCTTGGGATGGCAAGATTATTCTGCATTATTATCCTACTGGGCCCAACCACTACTCACCTGTCAGTTTGTTGTACTGTAGTGCTTGCATGTTGCTGTGATGCTGGAAGCTATGCCACCAATATTTCAAATACCAGCAGGGCCACCCACAGTAGATAGGTTTCAGCAGAGATTCCACACTAATAGAGACTAGGAAGAAGAATGGGGCCTTCTACTTCTGAAAACACTGATCACTGAAAACCTTATAAATAGCAGTGAAACACTGTCTGATACATTACTAGAAAATTTTATGAATAGCCCTAAGATACTGTCTGATACAGTACCAGAAGATGGGCCCCTCAAGTTGGAAGCACTCAAAATATGACTGGGGAAGAGTTGCCTCCTCAAAGTAGAGACAATCTTAATGACTTGGGTGAGAGTAAGTCTTTCTGGACCTTCATTTGCTGAAGGGATCAGTAGGCTCCAGATCAAAAGCAACTCATTTCAGTTTCCCAAAGCAGGAGATGTTGAAGGACCAGGGAGCAGAGAAATAAAAGCCTTGATGCTGAATGTCAAATTGATGTTTCATCCCAGTGGCATATGTGATAGTTGAAGATGTGTCAACTTAGCTGGACTCCAGTTGTGAGTGGTGGTTCCCATGATGGATCACATAACTGAGTTCTAAGCAGGCGGTCTGCCTAAGGGGAGTTTCCCCAGGGGTGTGGCCTACCTGCAATGCTATCCCAGGGACAAGCTGGAAGAACGGCATTCCGGACTATATACTTCCTGGAGCGAGCAGCTCGCTGCTCGCCCTGGAGGTTTTCGGATTCATTCTTTGTTGGGAACAGCGACCAGCGCACTGCATG